TCTCTCTCTCTCTCTCTCTCTCTCTCTCTCTAACGTATTTGTCACGCCGTCATCGATGGCAGCACCTGTCCCCGTCCACTTGTCGAAGCTTGGCTATCACCACACGTGGCGACCGTTCTCAATTTCAGGTTATGTTAATTCTATCACTTTACCTGAAGAAATCTCCCGGGCACTCTCGATTTTCCCGTTGAAAGATACCGGAACTTGTGGCACTTTTTAACTTGCCTAGATCCTGAAACAGATTAACGCCCGCGGGCACGAAAATGCAGAATACAATCCAAATTATTTGGCAGTAACAGTTTAGCGAACCTTTCAGCTACTCACCGGAAACGGAAGTCCCGATTTTAATTAATTATGTAAGTATTATAACATTTTGATAATTAATAATTTTGAACAAGTTTTTTGTATGTATGATCTAATTCAGTCTTTATTTGTTATTATAAATAATAAAAAGGAAATAAATTTTTAAAATACCGTAACTCAAATATTTTACTTTATTTTTAATCACTATCTCATAAATCAATTTTTGGATGCTTAAGATTACGTAGTCTCTTAATTAGTAAACTATTATTTCAGTTTAATGACTACATATTTAACTACTATACGAAATTGTACAATATTTAAAAGAATAGAACGTTCAACAAAGCTCACCAAGCATATTAGCATTAAGTTGACAAGTGAACGAGGAGCGCGCGCCAGCCCTGAGCGCCACATAGATCAGAGCGCTTATTCGTTAACTTCAATCTGTTCTCCTGCAAAAATTAAGAGTATTTGTCAGACACAATTTTGCAAAAGGAAAAAATTGTTTCTTCTAGCGTAAAGTATGACATCTTATACTTTGCGGCCGCACATTCAAAAATACTCTGTAGATAATGTCAATATAATGTCAAAACAAAATCCATCCTCTTTATTGCTTTACAATAATTAAAATTTAATTATTATTGTTTTGTTTAAAATGATAACCTCCAATCTGGAGACAAGCATCTATCGACTACGTCTGCGAAGTCAATAAGTTTTTAGAAAAACGTAAAACACATTTTTTTTATTTCTCAACATAGTCTCCCTTTAATTCGATACATTTGATCCAATGATTCTCGAACTTTTTCAAGCCGTCCGAATAATATAATTTGTCCAACCCTTCAAAATAAACTTGTTTCGGCGATAAGCTATTCTCTGGTGGTGAATCTCTTTCCTCCGAACCATTTCTTCAGGTTTGGAAACAGAAAATAGTTGCAGGGGGCTAAATCTGGCGAATATGCAGGATGGGAAAGCAATTCGTAGCGGAATTCGTTAAATTTGGCCATCGGTGCCGGGCGTGAACCCGTGTATTGTCTTGATGGAAGAGCACTTTCTTCTTCGACAAATGGAGACGTTTTTTCTTTAAAATGTTGTTGAAACGGTCCAATAAGGCTGCATAGTAACCTCCATTGATCGTTTGCTTCGACGGAAGGTAATCGATATGAATTATACCGCGTGCATTCCAAAAAACTGGCCATTACCTTTAACGGCCGACTTCACTGTCTTTGCCTTCTTCGGAGCTGATTCACTCGGTAAAGTCCACTGTTTTGACTGTTCCTTCGTCTGTGAAGTAATAAATCCATGTTTTGTCCACAGTAATAAATCGACGCAAAAATTCATCTGGATTACGTTGAAATATTTCCAAATATTGTTTTGAAATCATCACACGGTCGCGCTTATGGTCCACAGTGAGCAAACGCAGCACCCATCTTGCCGATAGCTTTTTCATACCCAATTGTTCGTGCAAAATTGAAATCACTGTGCCATGTGATATGCCTGTGGCCTCAACAAGCTCGCGCACTTTCATTCGTCGATCAATCAAAACAATATCGTGGACTTTATCGATGATTTTTGGCGTAACAGCAGGACGTCAATTGGACGTCTCGAACGAGGTGCATCACATGTGGATGTACGACCACGTTTAAATTCATTCACCCAATTGTATACAGTCGCAAACGCTGGTGCAGATGTGCTATGAACATTATCTAACTCGAGTAGTTGTTATAGGGGGGAGTTCTAACCCATGGAGCTAGAGGAGAGCGCGGGCCGCGGGGGGTACTCGTAGGCGCGGAGGGAGCGCGAGCGGAGGAAGGCGCGATAGAGGGGGAAGGCGCGGGAAGTCCTCGGCGGCATCGTTGTAATAGGACCCACATAAACAATGCGTTTCTTATTTTTTTCATCCGCCGCCGCCACCATCGTCATCGCCGCCATGACGCTTTACATGACACAATTATTATCTGGCATGTGCCAGATTAATAACGCGACTAATATTATAACGTAGTACGCTTTGTAGGCGATCGAGCGCGTGATATGAGTGAAGAAAGGATAGAAGAAATGAATCCTCTTTTTTATGACGCAGTTTTTTCAATACGGTTTTTTATTAGCGCGTCGAGGTATAGGATGGATGGATAGATGAATGGAGAGTAAAATAAAGTACATATATAAAATGATGTGGATGAAAATTTTTTTTATTCACATCTTATTACATCGTGTTTTTTTCTCATATTTTATTAAATTTTTTCGCAATCGACAGCGTTCAAATACAATCGACGGCTCGAACATCGCTAGCTATGACTTATACTTTGATGATGATGTTGATGATGATGACGATGATGATGATGATGATGAATATGTTTGCGATTTTGATAATGTCGATGAGGAACATGTTGGTGATTTTGATGCTTTTTCACCTGGATGTTTCCAATATCGCGTTTTTTCCTTCGATGATGATGGACTTGGTGGACCTGGTGACAAGGAACGGTACCCCTTGTCCTCGGTCGATTTTCGATGTATATATTCTTTTACACGATCCATGTCTTATCACTCGTAATCGAAATTTACGAATGAAAGAAAAAATTATATACACTGTTTATATATACTCGTACACTATCAGATCGATGATACATCGCGACGCGTTAAGAAAAGCGCCGATGTTCGACTGCTAAGCCAAACATAACTCTTCTACAGTAAAATGAATGATACCCCAGTGAAGCGTATGAAATCACACTGGCTTCCCACAACCCTTAAATTTCTTCGAAGAAGTGTCGATAACGATTTTTTCTGAGAAGAGAGAGATCGATGTAGCGGCATGTAGCAACGCGTTAAAAAGAAGCGTTGATGTTGTTTATATAAACTAGAATCGCTCGCAAAATGCTGTCTTATCTACTTCTAAATAAAGTATGACTCAATAGACAAAGGGACAAAGAAGTCACAAATGAAATATATAATGAGTTATAAGCGTCCAGTTCCACAGTTGGTGCCCTGGAAGACGAACGAACGAATCGGTCGCAATAAGAATAGTGGAAAAAAGTATGGTTGATCATCGTGCGAACGTTGAGGACATAGCCAACGTAGTCGAGCACATTAGAAACGTGGATACTGAACAGTTCGCGAATATCAGAGATGAAGTGTTCGAAGTGTTAGAAGAAATGGATGTAGATTTTGAGGACATAATGGACCAAGATTCCGACGAAGAAGTGCTATCCGATGATACTGGTTGTGTTAGCGACTTGAATGAGCACGATACGGATCACGCAGAAAAATTTGTGTCGTCTCCAGAAATCCGCGCACTGAACAGTCATACTAAACACTGCATGATCCAGGGCTACTATACAACGGGTGGTGCCTTGAATGTGTGTGCAGCATGCATGATACGTTTGGCTGACACCGATGTTGTAGGAATGTATCTTGTAAGGAAGCACGACATTGATTATATTGATGCGCTAGGCGGCCGATCTTGCACGAATTGTGGAGTGTCAATGTACACTATATCTCCGTGCAGCATGTGTCCACTCTGCACACATTGAAAAAAACTATTGTGAACTGTATTGTGAGCGAGACACTACTGAAAAAATGTGGGAAGATTCTAACGTAGATGATGTGCTGTATGTTCTCGGTAATCTGCAAAAAAGAGACATGGTGCACGAATATCGCCAGTGCAATTCCTACGCGATCGTGAATTAGGTATACGTGGTGAGAAACCTGGAACAGTTATCAGAGAGCCCATTTTTGCCGGGCCTTTATTCGTGCGACAGCAAGTGTATCCACGGTTACGAGACAAATGTTACGAGGACGATGAATATGAAAAGAGGCACTGGCGGAATAGAAATGGCAATGTAATAAAGGATGATTATTATTGGGCGAAGAAAATCGTAGATAAAAGCCGAGATTGGTACACCTGCATTAAGATTCCTGCAGGTAGTGAAAAGTGCGTTGAACTGCTGATTATCGATGTTCGGGAAACTCTCTTATGCCCGACTCCGCACTGGGGACAGAGCGTATGAGAAATTCCATCTGAGCGCAGCGTGAACAATGAGAAAGTCATGCAGCGCGGATGAAGGAGTATGGTTGAGCACTTTTACAAAGCTGGAGGTTTCACTTAATAATCAGAGCTGCCTACAGTATTTGCACAGTACCATGAGCAATCCTCCCAATTAGTTCCTTTCACAGAGAGCGCTGACGATCGACTCCAGAGAGCGCGTGCGTGCCGGCGACACGACCCCGACCTCCGACGCCCCCGACCCGCCTCATCCAGCGACACGTGAACGCCGGCCCGGTGGTCCCCCTGCCCCCGGCCCGCCCCTTGCACCCCATCTCACGGTCGCTCGAGCTGCTCCCCTGGGCCTCACGGGCGATCGTGGGATAGCGCCAACACTATCGATTGAGCGTGCCGACGGAATCTCAAACATTCCCGCTCGCCATCAGCAACGGGATTGATGATGAGTCCCCTCCTATGGTCATTGAGCTTGGTCCTGGTGAACAATAGGCGGAGGTACGAGCTTGGCAATTGGTCTAGTGAGAGTTGTCAAAGGTGTGAGTTTGGTGATAGGTTTGGTGACAGTTGCCTTGGGTGTTTTAAGTGTCACCACTCGGGTGAATCCATCCTCTCCTGGCATTGCAGCAATGACTCTAGCCAATGGCCACTTGCATGGAGGAAACCTTTCATCTGTGATGAGCACCAATGAGCCCACTTGTATGGTGTTTGATGGATGATGCCACTTTGAGACAGCTTGCAGTCGTTGCAGATATTGTGTTGACCATTGCGACCAGTATTGCTGTACTCGCTGCTGTATGAATTGCCATCGTGATAGTCTTGAGATGACTAAATCTTCCAGAGATGGCTCTGGTACTGTTGTAAGCGCACTTCCGATGAGGAAATGTCCTGGGGTGAGTGCTGAGATGTCATCTGGATCGTCGCTGAGTGGTTCTAGAGGTCGTGAGTTCAGGATCGCCTCGATCTGGGTGAGCAGGGTTGTCGTTTCCTCAAAAGTGAGCAAGGTTTCTCCGATGGTACGACGCAGGTGGTATTTGAGTGATTTCACCACTGCCTCCCATTTGCTACCCATGTGCGGGGCAGACGGTGGATTAAAATTCCACTGAGTGCGATCTTGAGCGAGCAGAGCTGAAATGTGTTGATTCTCTTGAGAGTTCTGTGTGAACAATGTTTTGAGCGATTTATCAGCTCCAACAAAGTTTGTCCCGCAGTCGGAGTAGAGTGAGTGTGAGATGCCTCTCCTTGACACAAATCTCCTGTATGTTGAAAGAAATCCATCCGTTGAGTAGTCTGAAACAACTTCCAAATGAACTGCAGATGTTGTGAGGCAGACAAACACACAAATCCATCCTTTATGAGTCTTCGCTCCTCTTCCCTTCTATGGTTTGAGTGTGAGTAGTCCGGCATAATCAATGCCAATATGAGTGAATGCACGTGAGCGTGCGACTCGAGACAGAGGTAGTTGGCCCATCAGTTGATGTGCACGGACCCCCCTTTGTCGAGCACCACACACCGCAAGACATGAGATTTCACTGGAGCTCGTCCACCGATGATCCAATAAGATAGCCTGATATGAGCTAATGTGAGTTGCGTGCTGCCGTGTAATGTTTGTTTGTGAGAGCAGTCAATGATGA